ACATGTATTAGCCAGACCTATCATGCATTATAATATGTTAGAACCAAAAGGAACTGGAGCGATTATGCTGTCCATGTCCTCAGTTTGGACATGAGGAAACTGAGGCCCAAGCTCATGTGGATAGATAGTTCTGCAGAAGCTAGGTCTCTCAACTTTTCCTCTGATACTAGCTTGCCTGCACCATTCCAGGATGCTACATGTGAAATATGATATCATTTTTTATTCCATAAAATTTTAGTAGACAGACATGCAAAATGCACAGCAGGCTTTTCTTTGGACTTCCAGAAAGTAGTGTAAGAAATTTTGGGTGGATTAAAAGTGAGGACTTGAGTTGCTTTGTTATTCAAAATAGGAACCTGGGAGTGGGGAGACATATGTATGGCAAGAATTTAATGATTGAAGATGTTCTAAATTATGGTAGCCAAGGAAAACAAACAAAAATACTCTTTTGTCAACACTAAATGACATTTGTTTTAGTAGAGCTATTATATTGTCATTAATCTTTTAATAGCAAAATTAAAATTTTCCAATTTTGATTGTTTTTTAGCTACATGTGGTCATTTGAAAAAGCTCACCTCAGCATGGTCCAGATTATCACAGGACAACTTGTTGAGTCCTTTGATGAAGAATTTAGAACTCTCTATGCCAGATCCTGTGTCCCCAGTTCATTCGCTCAGGAAGAATCAGCAAGGGTGAAGCATGGGAAAGCACTCTGGGAGAATGGCACTTACCAGCGTTCAGTTTCTTCATTAGCCTCTGTTTCCAGCCAAAGAAACCTTTTTGGTAGACAGGACAAAATGCATAGGCTAGATTCTAGTTACTTCAAAAACAGAGGGATATATGCCCTAAATGAACATGACAGATATAGCATAAGAAATTATGTATACAAACCTCATTTTGTTCCAAACTTTAATGGCCCGAATACAATCCGTCAGTGTCAACCCAGTCAGATGAATGAAAATTGGAAGAGGCATAGTTATGCTGGGGAACAGCCAGAAACAGCACCATACCTGCTGCTTAACAGAGCTCTGAATCGAAACATTAATCCTCCTAGTAATTGGAAAAGGCCTTCAGATAGTCTCAGCGTGGCATCCTCATCACGGGGAGGCTATGCTGGCCACCATAACCCACCTGCCCAGAGTTTTGCTGATCGGCTTGCCCAGAGAAAAACAACAAATCTTCCAGAAAGGAATTCAAATGTGCGGAGGTCTTTTAACGGGACGGATAATCATATTCGCTTTTTGCAACAACGAATGCCAACCCTTGAACACACCACAAAGTCATTCCTGCGTAACTGGAGAATTGAATCCTACTTAAATGATCATTCAGAAGCTGCACCTGATTCAAATGGATCCACTCTAGGTGACCGGTTTGAGGGCTATGATGGTGCTGAGAATTTGAAAGCCAATGCCCTTTATACTCATTCTCGGCTTCGTTCCTCTTTTGTGTTTAAACCAACTTTACCCGAGCAGCAGGAAGTTAACAGTTGTACAACTGGCTCCTCAAATTCAACTATCATTGGTTCCCAAGGAAGTGACCCACCTAAAGAGGTACCAGACACCCCTACATGTGCACAGCATTTGACAGACAAACCCTTACCGGAATCAATCCCCAAGATCATGTTGCAGTCAGAGGCACCGAAAATGCACAACTTGCAGGTTCCCGAAGACCACTCAGCAGTCATAAACCAAGCTGCAAATGGCCATGCACAGTCAAACAACTATATATATACAACGTTGTGTGTAAATAAGCAGACAGAAAATCTAAAGAATCAACAAAATGAGAATCTGCTTAAAAGGCGAAGTTTCCCATTCTTTGACCACTCAAAAGCCAATTTAGATCATGGAAATAGTAAGCATTATGTATACAGTACACTTACCAGGAATCGAGTTAGACAGCCTGAAAAACCCAAAGAGGATTTGCTGAAAAGTTCTAAAAGCATGCACAATGTGACCCAGAGCACGGAAGAGGAGACAGAGGTCATCAAGAGAGACTCTCCGAGTGGGACTGCTACCAAGTCCATTTCCATTGCTGCTTTGCTTGATGTGAATAAGGAGGAACCTAACAAGGAACTCACTTCAAAGAAGGAAGTTAAGGGTTCCCCAAGTTTTTTGAAAAAGGGATCTCAGAAGTTAAGGTCGTTACTTAGCCTTACCCCAGAAAAGAAAGAAAACCTATCCAAAAATAAAGCACCCGCCTTCTATAGAATGTGTAGTAGTTCTGACACCTTAGTCTCTGAGGCTGAAGAGAATCAAAAACCCAAAAAATCAGAACCAACAGTTGATTCATCTCCTAGAAGAAAGCATTCTTCCTCATCAAACTCTCAAGGCAGCATCCACAAAAGTAAGGAAGACGTAACAGTGAGCTCATCTCAGGGGATAAATTCCCCATCCAATGAAAGTAATAAAATAATACCTTCTCCAGGTCCGGTTGAAGGCAAGTTCTTGGAAAAGGCAGGAGATGCCTCTACCCCGAGATTTAACACTGAACAGATCCAATACCGAGATTCGAAGGAGATGAATACAGTTGTTGCTCCTGAAAGAAAACCAGCTTCTCCAAGGCTAAAGCCCAATGAGCTGCTAAGAACTCATTCAATTGACCGGCGCGTTTATAGTCGTTTTGAGCCGTTTTGTAAGATTGAAAGCTCTATTCAGCCAACAAGCAACATGCCAAATACTGGTATACACCGCCCAGAAGTAAAATCCGCAACTGTAGGTAATAGTTATGGCAGGTCAAGCCCACTGCTTAATTATAACACTGGTGTTTACCACTCATATCAGCCAAATGAAAACAAGTTCCGAGGATTTATGCAGAAGTTTGGAAACTTCATACACAAAAATAAATGAAATACTGTAATTAAAAATAGATATTAAAATACAAAACGAATGTGGCTATAAATATTTGTTCAAAGAACATTGGAGACAGTTTTTCTAACCTGCCAATGGATTTCTATATGGGCAGAATTTGGCGTGTGATGGGTATGTTTACTCACATACTAATGTACAGTAAAGTTATTGTTCTGTGTGATAAAGTTAGCTGTGCTTAATTACACCATAGATGGGATGTCTCTATAAACACATGATTTTTAAATGGTAATGGTAAAAAAATGTAATTCAATTGTTTTCTTCAGACCGAAGATCTTCTTAAATCTTAAATATAAACTTCAGTGGAGAGATGGTGTATGGATTTTAACCATTCATTCTAAAGTCTTTCCTTTTAAAAAAAAATCATAATCCTCTCAGTCACCCTTTATAATATATCTTCTTGGGGTTTTCATATCTTAAAATTATGAGAAAATAGACTGAGGCCTTTTTGGTTTTTAATTACCTTTAAATTCTACAGGATAACTTTTCTATTTCATTAATGTTTTATTAATTTTCTTGTGGAGTATATACAGCTGGTTGGGCAGCCACAGCTGCCATTTAAACTATAGCCCAGCACATTTTTTACTTTGCCTGAGGTGTTTGCAAAGTATCAGCCTCACATAGTACAAGTACATCATAGGAATTTATCTTCCCAATACTTTGAAAACCATCCAAGATGTGCTTCTCTCTGCTCTGGACCAAGGGAGCCTGTACTCTATTTACCCATCAGCTGCTGAACTTTTATCGCTCTTTCTTCCTTCAAACTTATTGCAGGCCAGCAGGAATTTGGAAAACGTGAATTATTCCTCTCCTTTTTCTAATATAAAAAAGGTTTTTAGAAATGTAAACTTCTGCATAAATTTTTATCTTAGATTAGGATAACAATGCTTAGGTGTTTTGCTTGCAAAATTCTTTGCTCTTTTTTAAGCTGTGCCAAATACGGGGTGACTGCCTAGTGTTTTCATAATGGTACCGTGATGAAAATGAGAAGTCATCCTTGGCCTAGTTCTTCCATGACCGTGGGGCCTGGTTGAAAGTTTTAAATCTTTCCCTATCTTAACTTGATGATGATATTCAGATCATAAGATACTCCTTGCCTTTCTTGGAGTAATGAAATGAAAGCTCCATATCCATTATAGAGACTTTAACTTGGCTTTACTTCTTCCATAAAGAACAGAATTCAAGAAACAATGTATCATTTGAGAAGTGTGAAGTGTTTCTGTAATACTTTAAATATATTATTTAACACCTAAGTTGCTATAGGGGGCAGTATGTTGTTTTAAAAATTCAAGATTCAATCAAATATTAATATTTATGCCATGAAATAATTAAAATAATGGCATTAAAATGTCTGTGTCATTAAAATGATTTTCCATAGTGTTTAAAAACCATGATAAGAAACATGACAGGAGAAAACATGGCAGTAAGGAAAAGAAAACCAAACATTTATTGGGCACTTATCATAGACGGGGTCTTGAGCTGGAAACTAAAGTCCCCACAACAATATTTTGTGGGTACCATTGTCCTCATTATTTACAGATGATGATTGAGGTGATAATTGAGACATTGAGACTCAGAGAGGGAATGCCCCAAGTCATGTAACTAATAAGTAGCGATAGTAAAGTGTCTGTAACATTCTGTCACATCACATTACCTCCCAACTGTGTTCAAACTGCCTCGCCCAAACTATTGAGAATTAAATAAGAGAACATTTATATTTCCTAACTCAACAGCAATCAACTGAGAAAGGTTTAGTTGAATTCCACTAGACAAGAAGGACACACAGGGCTTAAAATAATCATAGTAGGTGAGATTAGGAGATTAAATGGAGATTAATTTCTGAATGTAACATAGCAGGCCAGTTTTAATTGCTAGGCAGCCATTTTGATCTCCTTCCTGTTGACCTGTGACGAGAGGAAGGGAAAGGGAACCATAAGTGAGTTGTAACCTGCTTCTGTGCTAGAGAAAGGAAGGTTAGGAAGCTAGGCAGGGGATGGAGCTCAATGTTAAATACATTATCTTATTAAATATTCACAATAACCCTGGGAAGTAAGTACCTCCATTTTGCAAATGAGAAAACTAAGCCTCAGAGAAGTTACGTGACTTTCCAAGAGTTACACAGCTCTGAGTTGGTACAACTGGGGTTTGAACACAAAAGCCTGTATTTTTAATACTGTACCACACCATACCTTGCTGGCTTCTACTCCACTATGCTTGAGGAAACTTCTTTGAAAGTAGTTGTCTCTGTCTTTTGCACTCTCTTTACAAATTGCAGATATATACCAGTAACTGTACAGCAATAGCATTTTATAAACACAAATCCAGAATATAATATTCAGTTTCACATCATTCATAAAAGTAGGGTTTAAAACTCCTGTTATAACATAGGGAATTCCCAAGTACTACAACATGGGATTTTATTGTTTCTGAAAGCTAAGTATAATAGGTTGGACATTTTGCACACTTCTTAATAAATTAATAGCATAAAAAGAAAACTTTGAGAGGGAACAGTCATTTTTCATAGGAAAGGTAGCCAAGGATATTTACAAAAAATCTGAATTTTAAAAAAAAACCTTTGGAATGTGTATTTCCTTAGATAAGGAATTCAGTTGCAATAAGAAAAATGTTTCTAATTGTTAGTGGGTTAATATTTAGAGTCATCTGGAAATTGTATGATCTTCACAGATTATTAAAAAGCATTAGAATTGGGGTCCAATGAGTGAAAGAGATTTTTCACTTTGCTCTTACAAAATTCACTTCTGTAATTTCCTTTACCCATTTACAGCAGGCAGAACCCACAGTTAACCAAACCAGACTGACTTCACTATTACTCACTCTCTGCTGGTGTTAGATGGAGCATCTTTCAGAGCTAAGGGGATAATGGGCTACTTGTCATTAGGCAGCTCTGAAATTCAAAGTCCTGAAATTTAGAGCAACGTAACTTTAAAGCTGAATTTACAGCTAGAAATTAAGACTAGAGTTTTAATTTCAGAAAATTACATAAAGGCTTTTGTACAGCAACTGCCATCATTTTGGGAAACGTAGATAGCTTTTCAATAGTTCTTGAATTCCTCCTTCCCTGATGGCATTGGGCAATGCGGGATGCTTTCTTTCACCCACCTGTAATGGATAGCTTAGACTTGCACAGCAGATTAATTTTCCTCTGCCTTTTTTCTTTGATTATTTTCCTTCACTTTTTTTCATCCAGAAATATCTGTGTGTCAGAATCTATACATAGTAAAGTTCCAAAGTTTCTGCAGCTGAGAAACTCCTCAGGGTTAAGACTGAGCTAGTACATAATACTTCAAATAATTTACTCAGATTTTAAGTTTTAAACAGACACTACCAAACTTCATGGATGTTATCACTTCAAGCAATATACTTTCTTTTTTCTCCCCATATTAGTATTGGTGGAAAGATAATATCACTTAAATGTACTTTCATATTAAAGTTTGGTAAGGCAACTTTTACTCTACATACTACATTAGTTTCTAAGGAGAAACTCAAGAAAATAGGTACGAATTCAAAGTAGTTCTTTGCAGATAGCTTCAGAATAGTCTAAGTGCCTGTATCCTACACATGCTGATATCCCTCTATAGTAATGGTTGGGATTAGCCGCAATTCTGACATGGTGTATTGAGGTATGGGTATATGTGGGCAGTCTACGTTTGTGGAAGAAATGTCTTGTTTAATTAAGATGACATCTACTGTAACCCAGATAAGCAAGGGAGAAGGTGGAACTCTGGCTACATTCAACTTGAACTTTACTCAAGATTATCTGGTTATTCAACTATTATTCCACAGATATTGGTCTTTCATGAATATCTGTTGATTCTTAAAGTGCCTATGGCTAACGACGTAAAGTAGAATCATTGTTTCATGTTAACTATGTGTGATCCTGTTTAAAATAAGAAAAAAACGTTTATCATAATATTCAGTTTGGTTCTAGAATATTTAAAAAAAAAAGGATGAAATTATGAACCGAAGAGTCAATTTTTTATATGTATACAATGTTAGCAAAGAAATATTCTTCCAAATCAAGTTGTTTTTAGATCTAACAAATAAATATTAAATAATTTTGTACAAATATCAATATATCGTAAGGTGTTTATTTTTTATTTGCATACACTGGATTTCTCCATGTAAGCTCATGCTTTCACTTAGTCATTATATCATGAATTTAGATTTTTATACATTTCAAAATATTTCTCTATGAATTTTGAAATCATAGCTTAAACACTTTTGGTTTTATTTTGATTAGCAATTATATTTCATACAATTATTTATCCATATTTGATATCCAGTGACAATACTCTTCAAAATCATATATACTCATTCTCTTTATTTCTATTTCTACTGGAATATGGTAGTTATTTTAAATAATTTGTGACTTTGAAAAATAGAGAATCTATTTCATTAGGAAAATTGGTAGCTGCATTTGGATAACTTAGTAAAATACTCTAAAGGTGCATTTGCATTAGATCACTTAGTGACATTAAATAACCTACAGTTTGAAAGTTATTTAAAACTCAAAATGCAGTTTCCTTAGAAAAAACCATATCCCTTATATCACAGAATAGGATGCAATTGAAATACTGTATATTGGGAATTAAATAGTGTCCTTTTAAAGGCAAATTTGATTTTCAAGTATAATTTTAAATAGTTAAGTAAAAACAAATTTTGATTTTTTTGTCCATTTGCCATAAATGCTGAAGTGTGAGAAAAACTTTCTTCAATGGGATAGTATGGGAAATAGATAAGGTTTTACTTTTGTGGCCATCCTAAAGAAAACTTATTAATAGGCTCAGCTGATTTAAGGAATCAAAGACCATCCATCCTGAGGTAATTGGGCTAGGTAATGATGCAAGGGCATTAAAAAGAGTTACATGCGTGGGGCCAGCCGGTGGCGTAGTGGTTGAGTTCGCGCGCTCTGCTTCAGAGACCCGGGGTTTGCAGGTTCAGATCCCGGCCCCGGACCCAGCACTGCTCATAAGGCCACACTGATGGCAACCCACATAAAAAGTAGAGGGAGATGTGCACAAATGTTAGCTCAGGGCCAGTCTTCCTCACCAAAAAAAAAAAAGAAGAAGAAGAAGAATTAAGTGTGTATCCTGCCTGCGGAAAAGACTCATGTGAGGTGGAATTACCTGAGCTGAAAGCAGTAAGAAACAGAAGCAAAAGATATGCAAAAGAAAACTCGAGTTAACAAAGAAAAGTATAACAGGTCAAATTGGACATTTCTGCCTTAACAATCTGTTTCAACAATCTGGGTCATTTATTTGTTTAACAGTCATACTGGGAACCTATTTTGTTCCAAGTATGTCGGTTATAGTAGACTTTTGATATAAGAAAAAAGAGAATGTCTGGATAATCAGAAGCTGCAGCAAGTTTTCATGAGTGTCTTACAAATACCCCAAACTAACAGCAAAAGTGTTTATGCTACTTGAAGGCTGTTTGCCCAAACTTGTACATTGATGTCCTCCGAGTACCTAGCAGAGAGTGCACATAATGGGGCCAGCCCCGTGGCTGAGTGGTTAACGTTCCCTGCACTCCACTTTGGCAGCCCAGGTTCAGGGGTTCAGATTCCAGGCATGGACCTACACCACTCGCCAGCCATGCTGTGGTGGCAACCCACATACAAAAATAGAGGATGATTGGCACAGATGTTAACTCAGGGCTAATCTTCCTCAAGCACAAAAAACAACTGCACACATAAGAGATGCCTGATGAATATTCTTTGTGTGAACCCAGTCATTTCCTTAACTGTAGTTAGGTAAATATATATTCCATTAACGTCCGTTCGTTAAAAAGTGCATTTTATGACTATCTGAATAGCCATTTGTATTAAAAGGCATGGATGGGTTGATGCATCGGGGGTCTTAGTTTAAATTTTAGCCACATTTACCCTAGGATCTGCACATCTTTAGAGACCCAGCAGGGCTGGTCTTCTGAGAATATATTTTTTTGAAGGAAAGAAAACCACTGATGAAGAATTCATCCTAAAGGAAAAGAGAGTAGAGCTGTTCAAATTCACTTCAAAGGCAATTGGCACAGGAGGGAAGGAAGTGGTGACTTTGTGTTAGTCATTTAGATGTCAACCAACAGGTCAAATATGTGGGACTGTAACGGCAGAATGGCCTCTCTAAAATCTCCAGAGATGGTGCACGGAGAGAGTCAGGTGTAGAGGCTACTGCCGTGGACATCCTCACCGTGGCCCTCGCACATGGCCTCCCGTTTTCAACAGCAGCCTCCGCTAATCTTGAAAGGTTATTAAACAACTGCAGACTCTTTGCTGGTCAACAGTTAGGCCCATCTACCACTTTTGGTGTGGGCAATAATTGGCAGTATTGCCACAGTGGCCCAGAGCAAGAAACAATGGATGCCAAGAGAGCAAAGCCCTCTAGGGATTCAAAGAACATATATGGTAGGAAATTAGGGGGTGCTGACATTCCACCAGAACATCTCTAGATGGGAATTTACCATTCCCTTACTCCTAGCAAACTAGGAAATACGAGTTATATCTGTAACATGTCCACAACAAAACACAAAATGTTTGTGACAAAATTCACAAAATGAATTTGACAGAATGGTCTCCACTATTTCACTTTCATTAGAAAGAGGTAAATGGGAGGGTGGGGGTAAGCCCCAACAACCCCCAAAATAAAACAAAAATAAGAACTTTTAATCAGGGATGTATTTTAGCAAACAACTTTCAGAGCATAACCTGATACTAGCACATTTTGTCTCCAAATTTTTTTTCTAGCTATGGGAATATTTTTAATAATCTTTATGTGTCTCAATCATCAGGCAGATTCAATTAGATTTAATAGACTATATTTTAGAAAGAAAGTTCACTTGTTTTTCTTTGTGTATTTTGGTTTGTTTGGTTGTTTAACAAAATACCAAAATCTTATTTTAGTTAACTATTAAGGCTAAATAAGTCAGATATTCATTAAATTAAAATAAATATTCTAGTTAAAGAGGATCTACCATAAAGCTCAGAATTAAATGTTTTTACAAATGGGAAGTCTAAAATACTTGAAGTTTGATTTCTCATTTTTCTTTCCAAAGCAGAATCTAATATTGCTCTTCTAAAGACAGAACAAAATTCTGTTACTGGATAAAAATAGGAAGAAGAGTAGAGAGCAAGTGGAAAGTGCATGTTACTTCTATCTTCTGACAAACCTGTTTTGACACTGAACTTCTTTTATTTTTTTATTATAGAAGACCCTCATCAGTGGAGAGGGCTTCTTTTTTGTGTGTGTGAGGAAGATCAGCCCTGAGCTAACATCCATGCTAATCCTCGTCTTTTTGCTGAGGAAGACCGGCTCTGAGCTAACATCTATTGCCAATCCTCCTCCTTTTTTTTCCCCCAAAGCCCCAGTAGATAGTTGTATGTCATAGTTGCACATCCTTCTAGTTGCTGTATGTGGGACGTGGCCTCAGCATGGCCGGAGAAGCGGTGCGTTGGTGTGCGCCTGGGATCTGAACCCGGGCCGCCAGCAGTGGAGCCCGTGCACTTAACCACTAAGCCACGGGGCCGGCCCCAACACTGAACTTCTTTGTGCTTGATTTCCTTCATATTAAATGAAAATGATAATATTTTGTACTTAATTGGAGTATATGAATATTGAAGAATCTACCTTGTAATTTGAGTCCCCTCGAAAGAAGGGCATAGGATAAACACTAGCATAGTAGGATTCTCATCCACCCAGCATTGCTTTGAATGTTTTTGACCTGGCTAAAGGCAGTAATAACCTTTAAATTCTTCGTTCTCTCTAGTGAACTCAAAGTTTGACAAAGAGGTTGATTTCCAGATGCTGGGAATTAAAACTTTAAGTATGTGAGGGTAAAATCTATTTTTCAATGTCATCTAGCTTAAAATATTTTTTGTGTGAGTTCCAAGAAATATAAAACCAGTGGTTGTAGATTGGCGAGAATAGAGTGACTTGAAGGTGGAGCAAGCCAGCAGCAGGCAGCAGGTACTGGTCCTGGCTCCACCTTGACTGGACATGTTTCAGCGCAGCCTCCCTATGACGTGCATGGAGTAACAACTGTTCCATCAGTCAAGATGACAGAATCCCATTTACTCTGTTTTTTTTTTCCTGGTGCAGAAGATCAGCCCTGCACTAACATCTGTTGCCAACCCTTCTCTTTTTGCTGAGGAAGATTGGCCCTGGGCTAACATCTCTGCCCATCTTCCTCTACTTTATATGTGGGACGCTGCCACAGCATAGCTTGATAAGTGGTGCGTCGGTCTGCGCCTGGGATCTGAACCAGCGAACCCCGGGCCGCCACAGCAGAGCACAGTGCACTTAACTGCTATGCCACCGGGCCAGCCCCACATTTAGTCTTCTTGGAATCCTAAACACAATGGTTTAAGAGATTGTAAGATTTCTTAATGTTTAATGAACCTGGTAAGTCAGTTTTAAGTTATCTTTATCTTTAACAATGTTTGGGATTCTGGCAGACCCTCTACCACAATAGCATCAGACCTCAATTTGGTTAATGGCAAAATATGTGTTTAAAGCATCATGACCAGGCTTGATTCTTATACATACTAAATTATAGATTTTAGATTAGTTACAAACTTTTTTATATCAGGCTCCATGTTGACTCATCCAAATTCATGTAAGTATTTTTAAATAATGTTATTCAATATATAATCATCAAAAACTCTTTATAGGTCCGTTTTTTTCAAGTGCTTAATAAATTACTTTCTTTTCTACACCTGGAAAATATTTGTCTTTGTATCTCCCTATGTCAGACTAATAAATTACAGAGTAAGATGAGTTGGGATTTTAATTCAACATGCATAATATTAAATTACCCAGCATACATCAAACGCTATCTTCCACATTATGGAGTATAGGCCTCAAGGATTGTAAAATACATTTGTGGAAATTATGTAAATATTTTTACATAATTCTAGATTACGTAAATCCTAGAAAACTTTTCTACAGCAGGCTTCATGATAAGAGCCATGTGGCAAAATTAGAGTGACATCAGGGAGATGAGATATTTAAAACTCTCGGAACCTAATGAGGATATTTGTTATTAATATGGATAATATTTAATATG